AGGTGTGGGATCCAAGAAAACCTTTGGTCAATTTTCAATACAAGAAATTTGATTTCTTTTGAGATCTTGATTCTTCTATTATTGATTTTAATGCAAGGTAGCCTTTGTAGCGATTTGCCCGGTTTTGGAAATAAAATAATATGTGATTTGGGCTCTGAAATTATTAGTTTTTGATTGACGATTAATTTTTGATTGACGCATAAATTTGTACAGCGGAAACACGTAAATTATAACTGTACTGGTCAGGACCCGATTAAGAGAATGTGGAGGCATTACACACAACCTTTCTTCCACTGGCCCTAGCACCTACTTTCCTAATTTTTAATTTTTATGAAAGAAAAACAAGATTACATGGAATTACAGACGGATGTAAAGGCTTTAAAATCTCAACTTTATATAGACTTAGGTGATAATTACGCTCTGCTTCTGCGCTGTTCAATCGGTGATGACATCCTTTATGTTTGATTGTTGGGAACAAGAGAAAAGTCATTGGGGGTTAAAGAATATAAGACCTCGTCAAATGTAATTTTTTCATGCTTTGAGCAATTAATAAATTTGAAACGTACAGCAATAGTTTGTGTTTTCATGGTATAGAATAAGGCAACATATCCCAATTTTCGCATCTGAATTCAGCAACTATTTCTGGCAAATAAATTATCATTTATCATTTAGAATTCGCAGTTCTTCGAATCGTTCAAAGCAACGGTTACAATATGACAGTTTTTATCGAAATGCACAGCTGTTATTTTCTTTGAAGCATTTTGTGCTAGAATAACTTTTGTAACATTTTGATCATTTTGAAGCATCCAAGAGTTAAACCGTTGCTTTGGTTCTGATTCATGGGGATAGATATTTTGAGTTTTGCTACAATGTAAAAGGGGATTTTTTGAGTCATCAGTTGAATTTTTAGAAATTTTTATTACTATTTCTTACTATTTGAGTTGAAACTGTGGAATATAACGATATCTTTTTTATTTTTAAATGGTCATGCAAAACTGCATGTATTCAGGATTTTGACATATTCAAAGATGCATCAGTTTCATCAAACGTGACACGCCTATATGGAGATCTTAAAGTAATTTTTTTTTTACTGAGCAACATCAATGTCTAAAACTCATCACCCGGATTCTTACGACCAACAGGATATTCTTAAAACCAGTTGTAAATTATTGCTTCATGTGTGCTTCTTTATCAAAAGCCGAATACATTCGATCAATACAATTTTACTGTGTGTAAAACTTTATCAAAACTCATTTTAAAATATAGCTTGGCTTGGAAATTCTTTCCACTCACCAATTCATTAACTCCAAAGAGTAATTTCGAATTATATATTAAAAAGAAGGGGAAAAAATCGTCTGCACTGAAAGCTGCTAATCTATAGCTTGTTGCTTTCGCATAAAAACTTCAAAGTTTGTTTCCGCCGCCTATTTAACTCGTAAACATGAAAACATCAGCTGCGGAAAAAGGTCGACTCGTTTATTTTATTATTCTTATTATTTTGTCCCACTTCATTTTTTATTACACGAGTTTCGTTTTATGAAAAGCATACGACTGACTTAAACTACAATGTTAAATGATGTGGAGGAAGTAAATGCTGTGCGGTTATGATGACACGAGTTACGACAAGGAGGTTAGAATAGAAGGAGGGAAGGTTCAGCTCAAACGTGAAGCTTGGCGGCCATCTTCCTGTTATCACCGTGACTTGTGCAAGGAAATCTGTCATTGCAACATTTTTTTCTTTTCTTTTTGAAGTATGTCAGCTTGTATTGCATATGGATGCACAAATAGATTCTCGAAAAAAATTCCGGGCATTATTTTTCACACGTAAGTATCAATTTTCTTTTTTATGTAATATGACAACTATATAAAAAAATATCACAATGTCATGTGGTTTTCTTTCCAGATATGAATACAAAAGGACTTAAAATAGGTTATTTATAACTATAATCAAAATATATTAAATACATTTTAATGTTTCTGTTTATAGCTGGTATCTTCGTTCCTTAAGATACAATGCTATATGGTCGGACTTAAATTGTAAATTTGAACGTTTTAGTTAATTCGTTTTATAACTTTCATGAAAAGTAAGAAATCAATTGTTACTATTTTTATTAATTGTAAAGGGTTTAAATAAAGCAATGCTTTTCTTTATATTATTATATTTCATTTTTTTAAGTTAAGATAAATTGTTCTGTTGTTAAAATTTTTGCATAAACTTACAAACAATTGACATGTGGAAAGATGTATCCAAAAACTTATATAGGTGTATTTCTGTAATCAACTTTAAAAGCATTCTTTGAGATTAATAAATATGAAATGCGCAGAAACTGAAATCAATGAATTCACATAAATCCGTTTTATTTATTAAGATTTATTTTCTAACCTAAGCAAATCCGTGAAATATGCAGAAACATAATTTTTTAAAGGCTTTAATGTTATGCGCATGCATTTAGATTTCGAACTATTTTCTTAATAATTTGCTGTACATAGTAAATTATGGATATCATCTTTATTACTTTAAAACAAAAATTCAACAATAGCGAGGGATTTCATTATAAATTTAACATATTTTTACTGGAAAATAAATGCACGGAACAGCTTAGAAACCACGTACATGTCACTGCCGTAATGCAATGTTTTGAAGTCACAAACATGGACGCCGCTTGTTCGGCGGAGTTTCATTCCCCGATAGTGGAGGAAACTACGAACCCTCCCTCCTTCTATTCTAACCTCCTTGAGTTACGATCGCAAATCGGAAGAGGATTGAAAATGACCTTGAAGTGCCTATTTTAAAGACACAAACGACATTACACAGTAATATTATCCATTCAATTACTGGGGAGCTCAGACGAAAGAGAAAAAAAAAGATGATTTATGACACTTAATGATACATTTCTAATGTAAATTACATGTAGCATTTAAAAATCTGACGAGTTGAGTTAATAAAAACTCATTGTTAGCGAAATTATAAAAGACATTTTAACAAAATAATAATCAATTAAAAATTTCAGGAGTAAAAGAATCTTATATTTCAATTACAAAATAACAGCAAATTAAATTAAACTTGTGCACAGCCTTAAATGCTACAGTGGATGGACAAAAATATGGAAACACCTTGTGAAATGCATGTTTGAAAAGAAAGATTGATTTTAATGAAATATGTAGGTGGCGCTGGCGTTTTTGACTACTGACGCCACCTATACAACTTCGTAAATGTGCTAAACAGTTCAGCTGTTGTCGGAGTACTGTTATGTGAGGTTGTCATTGCATTATGTCAGAGTTAACAGACTTCGAACGTGGGCAAATTGTTGGAGCACGTACGGTTAGGTGCTTCCGTAAGCAAGGTAGCCGAGGTGTTTAGTGTTTCAAGAGGTACTGTATCGAAGACTTATTCCGCATATTTGAAAAGCGGAAAAACATCATCTGCTAAATCACAGCGCGGACGAAAGTGTGTTCTGAGTGATCGTGACAGACGATCATTAAGGGCAATTGTGACGAAAAATAAGAAGACCACAGCTGCAAAAGTTACTGCTTAAATGAATGTTGTGTTACCGAACCCTGTGAGTACCAAAACAATTAGAAGGGAGCTTCATAAACAGGGAATTGCTGGCCATGCTGCAATTGAGAAGCCACTCATCAGTGATGCTAATGCCCGTAACAGGAAAAGTTGGTGTTTAAGTCATAAAGCCTGGACTATAGAGCAGTGGAAGCGAGTAATATGGTCTGACGAGTCTTCTTTCTCATTGTTTCCCACTTCTGGCCGAGTTTACGTCTGGAGAACGCCATCTCAAGCCTATAATACAGACTGCTTGTTCCCAAGAGTGAAACATGGCGGGGGTTCTGTTATGGTTTGGGCAGACATATCGTGGTTCTCTGCTAGCCCCATGATAACTGTGTCATAGCACATGACTGCCAAGACTTATGTGAACATTTTCGCCGAGCAAGTTCACCCCATGGTACAAACTTTGTTCCCCGATGGTGATGGTGTCTTCTAAGACGACAAAGCCCCTGTTCACACAGCTCACATTGTCCAGAACTGGTTTTCTGAGTACGAGGATGAGTTGTGCCATCTCCCCTGGCCACCACAATCACCAGACCTGAATATTATCGAACCTTTGTCGTCTACATTGGAACGGAAAGTGCGTTCTCGTTATCCACCGCCAACATCGTTATCTGAACTTGCCACCGTTTTGCAGGAAGAATGGTATAATATTCCCTTGGCAAACATACAGGAACTGTATTTATCCATTCCGAGAAGACTGCAAGCTGTTTTGGATGCCAACGGGTTTCCTACACCATATTAAGCAAAGAAACATGTTTTTTTAAAGGTGTTTCCATATTTTTGTCCAACCCCTGTATCTCACCATCATTAAATTTTTTTTCAAAGCATAAACTTTATAACTAAAACTCATTTAAACCCAAATATAATGGATTTTCTCATTAACAACACAGATAAAGTTAAACAAGCTGCAAATATACAGAATAATAATTTTTGTAAACTTATTTCTGCTCATGCTAATTAAAACTTCTCATTTTTCACATAATTTTAACAATTTTTTACTTAACATTTTAAAATCATATTACAAAAAATAATAATAAAATTTAAAAGTTATTATATTATTCATAAAATTAATTATTTGCTAAATTTTAGTTAAACTAATACTTCATTTTTAATACATTTAACAGTAATAGTTTTATGTAAATAAACATGACTAATTCAGCCATATTATTTTATATTCAAATTATTTGAATCTTTACTTTTCATAGTATGTATTATTAAGTAAAGCTTTAAATAATAAAATAATTAAAAAAACATGTAACAGACAATTTAATCAGCTCTATTTTCTCTTAAAATCTATTAAGATTTCTTCAGTGTATCAGAAATACCTTTAACTAATTATGAAATTAATAATTCTATAAAAAGGTAATTTTAGTTTAATACCTTGCTACACCTAAAAGCATGGGGAAGAGAGAGAAAAGAAAGAAAGAAAAGGACATGCTTTCTATTCCAACACTTCTTTATTTGTTTTCCTGAAACTGAAGATATTGTATAAGGTATTCAATGTAATTCTCCACATAAAAGTTTTTAAAGATATATCATAAATGTTATCTTTATTGTTCATTTGATATGTTGTTACATGCCACTGCAGAAGTAAACATAAATGTAATAAATGCATTTATCACATATCCACTTTAATTCAACTCATAGTTTAGTTTAAATAAATCAAAATACTTTTCCAGAACACAAGTAATACATTTAATCACCAGTAAATTATTTTGATATATTTATAATGGTGTTCAAACAACTGAAACATCAATTAATAAGTAACAGAAAAAAATAAATAAATAAAAATTTCAGTAAATTTCACTTTGTTCACACACACCCACACACACACAAAAGAAAATAATTTACTAATTAAAGATTTTGAAAGGCAAATAATATTTTAATGATCTAATTTTATTCTTCAGATATAAAAGTATGTAAATAAATATACATATTAGTCATCCAATATTATTATTAGTAATATAAGTCACGTAAAACATGTTGTACCTCAAAAAAATAGGGTAGCTCCATAATTATTCATAAAGCACACATCTGCAATATTGTGCACCTCAAATAAATGTATAAAAAAAATCAGTCCTGCATATATCACAATGGAAGAACATAATAACTCAGAAACACAAATTCTATGAATGTGTATTCTTGTAAAGCAGATACCAGGATATTTATACCATCAGCATAAAATAACATTTAACAGAACACACAAGAGATTAAAAAAAAAAAAAAGTAAAAACAAATTACATAAAATTTTGCATAAATATGCTTAATAAATGTCATTTTCTTTAAATTACAAGAACATGTTCTTCAATGAGACTTTTCCACCAGTAAGTATAAATCCACTTCATGCTGATTAAAAAATAACAGCATACAACACATAGAAAAAACAATAGTCTTCAAATGCTAAATTTATCACAGACTATGTAATAAAAAAATGTGATATATACATAGATACATTTATATCTAGAACCATCAACAACAATATATACTTTCAACAACAGTAAAAATATTTTTTAATATTAAAGATAAGAAGGAATTAAAATGAATTAATTTAATGCAAGAATCCATCATTATGATGAATTTTTCACCTTGGTAGAAAAGGGTCTATATTTCTAATATTAAAATTTGTTGATTTTTCTCAGATGTTACTAAAAAAAAAAAAAAAGAAAAAATTATGTTAGATTAATGGAAAATGCATTGCACTCACACAAAAGAAAGCTAAACTTTGAGGGTGGGGGGAAAAAAGGGAGGAGCTTGAATACAAGTAAATAAAATAGGAAAAACAGGCTATTATTTAAAAGTTTCATATAACACATAGCAAAATATCTGCAATAATGTAGAAATTAAAAATAAGGGGGAGGGAGAAAACTTTAATCATATTCAAATTCCAATTTAACATCTAAAAGTTTCTTTCTTTTTTTAATGTAGAAGGAAAAACAAAGTTAAGTTTAACCATTCCCACACTCCGTACTTTCTTCCCCCCCTCAATAATTCTGATATTCTGCCAAAAAATCATTATTTAGATACAAATGAAAATAAAACAAAAGTTACTGCCACCACAATACAACTTTATTATGTATACCTGTCATTAATTTAATTTATGCAATAGCCCTTATATGTTTTACAATATTCCAATCCTTAACTTAACCATTAATTTATTTTCAGAATATTTTTCATTAATTACTCTAATAGGTGGTTATTACTAGGAACAAGTGTTATTTTCACTATGCTAATTTCATGCCCTAGAAATCAGAAAATGTTTCTATTTCAGTTAGGGGAAATATTCAAGTCTCATGCATAAGAGATCCAGCGGAAAAAAATGCACAACTAAGTCTTGAAATCTTTATTCATTAAACAAGTGCAAAAATCTCCATGTGGTATCTCTATTTTGAACAACTTATTTTAAATATATGACTTTCACGTACAGAGTTTTGAAATTTTAGACATTTCAGACTCTTATAATAACTGTCTAGCTTTTAAAACTATTTTAAGCACTTAACTGGAATTTAAATGTGAAAAACTTTAAAATCAATTTTTTAAACAATAATTTTGATTAATTTCTTTTAATGGTTAATATTGTTTAGAGCTGTTTGAGGCATTAAATAAATTTATAAAATAACACTTTCACACTGCAATTTTTATTAATTAATAATACTGTAGAATTTTTATGTAAAAGGTAAGCATAACACAAATCAATAAATTTATACTTCATATTTTTCAAAATGTAGTCTAATCAGAAAGTCACATATTATTTCATGAGAAAACAGTAACCAAAGCAATAGTAATGGAATAACCCCATAATGCAGAATATAATAAATAGTGCAATAAAAGCTCGATTATCAGGAAAGCTAGGGAAATGAATTCCAGATACGTGAAAATTCTGCGTAGTTGACTGTATATAAAAAACGTAACTCAGTTTGGAAAAGCCAAAGCAATCATAATAATTTCTGTTCTTAAATTATAAATATAATCATTTTATTAATTAGCAACTTAAATATCAAAGCCTGCGTTTAAAATTGAGATTGCTGAAGACAAAATATATATAGATATATATATTTCAGTCATATAAAAGCCAACGTATGGTCTGATTATGAAATCCCGCCGAACACGAAAGTTGGCAGAGATGTCACCAATCATTGTATCAGTTTAAATACACTATTCTTAATTTATAGAGTTAGATGAAGCAATACAAATTAAAACTTAAGTCTTATAATTTTTTTCCACTGGCGCACACTTAGGGGACTCAGGCTTGGCCACTACTAAGGCTGGAAATGGTGGCCAGTTCATTATGGTTACCTCTCATGAAAGGACGAACAATTACAGCCATGCCATCTCCAGGATTCGAACCCGGGCCCTTCGGTATTGCAAGTAGGCTCCCCTAACCACTATGAATATACCATCTGACTGGCAAGTCACTATCATAGTTTTCAAGTTATATCGGCACTGTTCATCCGTTTAGTCATACCCTAGGTTTTTTTTATGTCTGGATCATGTAACTTTAAAAATACTCCCCTTCACTTCCAAACCAAAATGAATTTCATATGACTGTGTAGTGACATCATGCTTATCCATTAATGGCGCTAAATCGCACCGTTTAGTGCCAATGTATGTGTATTAATAGTATTATAAGCATTCTAAGTGGCATTACATAGCTCTCATTTAAACTTTTGGGTAAAAATATTATTTCTAAAATATTTCAGTTACTTGAGCTTTCCAGTTAGTTGAATGCAGGATAATCAGGCTTTGCCTCTAGTAAAATGCACACTAAAACTAAATTACTTGGATAAGAAATTTCATCTTAAACACGTTGCACTTGCTCTTTGCTTTTTCTAACTACCTAGGTTGCTATCACTACTTTTCTTACTGCAGCATCTTAAAAATGCAAAATTTATTCAAGAACAGATGTATTTTTTCCGCCACTTTATCAGTTATGCATTAAAAACATTTGTCAGTGAAAATAAAGAAATATTACAGTGTTCATCATTAACAACTGCTATCAACACAACTTCAATATTCTAAATTATTTTATATACACATGTATAAACAAAAATTGTCATTATTATTGTCACATTCACACTTATTAAATGCCAAACTTACACTCACACTGATTAAACAACCCATTCAGAGATTGTCATGAAGTTCTTAAAAAAAGAGAGAGAGATTCAAAGTGCAGTAAACAAATGAAAAAACTTTCATAGGATCAAACTCAGAACAGTTCAATGTGATTTGTTTACTTACAACATATTTTGTCTAAAGACACAATAACAAATTGATTAAAATAAATAAAGCAGTAGTAAAGTATAAAACTTGTTTTATGCAATAAATATATAAATTAAATATATAAGAAAAATTATTTAAATATAATTTTAAATAAAGGACTATAAGATAATAACAACAAAAATTCCTCTAATCTAGGACACTAGAAAGCATAAAGTGTTGAATTATTATATTACTTACATTCTAATAAAAATGTATAATTATACTAAATATCATAAAAATTTCATTTTAATTTGCATTTCCTATGCTTATTTACATTAAATTATTATCCACATTGAGTTAAACCAGATTCACCAGGTTCAGCATGTAAATGTTTATAAGAATGATTTGCACATATCCTACTACAAAATATAAATGAAAAAATTAATAAAAATTTTTAAATATATACAGTCACATGTTATAAACCTAATACATTTTTATATAAATGTATAAATTATCTTAAGTAAATGTACAAAAACTAACTAATTTTTAGAATTAAATAAGTAATAAATGCCATTTAATAAACATTCTAAGCAATAAAATATCACAAAACTGTTACAATTCAGGACTGCTTTTGATACAAAGTATAATCAATGGGTTTAACTCCAAATAAATTCCACGAAGACTGCAGGCTATTCCACTTTCTCTGCACACCTTTTGACATATTATCTTCAACTGGTGTCAAAGAGCTAAAAAAAAATAATATAATTAATGCATGACTACTTTATGTATCACGTTAAAATTACTTTTTCTCCAATCTGCAAAAACAAAGGAGTATTTTAAACAAACTGAAAAACATTGTATCTCGAAAATTTTTGCTTAAAAACTAATATCAAAAACCAGGTTAGGCTAAAAAATGCATAAATTTAAGCAAAAAATGATGAAAAAGGCTGAAAATAGTTTAATTATGAAGTAAAACAGTTAGAAAAAAAATTCAAACACAAAAGTAATATAGCCACTATATTCATACATTCAAATTTTGAGCAAATGCATATTGAAAGAAGGAAAGATCCTACTGAAGAAAATACTTTCATTCAACAGAAAATTTTGCAGAATCTATTTAAAATGTTCTTATTCAGATCAGTCTGACACAAAAGTTATAAGTTATATAACAATCACAATAAGCTAGATGTGTCTCTCTTTCAAAATGCTGGAGACCAGTAATCTTTTTGACATAAGCAAATGTACTCAACTATAAATGTCCACACTACTTAACATATACTAGATGATAAGTATAATATATATCAAAGATTATTTCAATTGCCTGCAGGACAAAAAATATCCAATTATATATATCAAAGATTATTTAAATATCCAATTATATATATCAAAGATTATTTCAATTGCCTGCAGAACAACAAAAAAAAAATCTGATAATATATATCAAAAGCTATTTCAATTGCCTGGAAGACACACACATACACACACACACACAAAAAAAAAAAAAAAAACGTTTGTGGATCCCTTTTCCCAGACTTTTTTTAGTATCCAGGAAGTATACAAAGTATAACTACGAGAAAATAAAATATAAGCTTTTCATAAAGTACAAAAAATTATTAACTTGTGGAATTAAGTAAAATAATATATACTGAAGGCCATTCATTTTGCTTGTACAACAATGATAATCTAATAAAATGTTTTAAGGATTCCTTTTCTCCAATGTTTAAGACAGGTACATTTTCAGTAATAAAAACATTTTAATATAAATACCATTATTAATATACTAATTATACATTAATAAGTACTAATTACATTAATGAATATACTAATTACATTAATGAAGAATAGAAAATTTAAGAATCTTACAAATTAAACTCTACATGTCATTTAACAATGGCTTAAAGTAATTAAAAATTATAAAATTGTTAGAATTCTAAATTGCTTTTAGTTATAAATAATAGTCAATGTATTTCAGCTCTAAGTATGCACTGCTGGCCACCACAAATGCAACATCCTGAAGGAAGCATGCAAATAACATGAAATTTACAACATGCATTAACGAAGGTGAGATATGCAAATGATTAGAATTTCAGCGCAGACGCACATCACGCGTGCCTGTAGCGCCACTTCAAAGCGCTATTTAAGGCTTGGAGTTTTTGACGATTTCAAGTTCGGCAATTGTGTTTTTCTTGTGGTTTTTTTCAAAAAAAAAAAAAAAAATCAATTATGCCTCGTAGTAAACAGCGATCATCGTTTGATCAAGTATCTGAGTTCGACATTCGACAGAGGAAGGATAGTGGCCTATCGAGAGTGTGGATTATCTTTCAGGAAAATCCATAGTCGTGTTGGATGAAACCAAACAACTGTAATGCGGATATGTACCGTTGGATGCAAGAGGGTATGATGGACTGATGTGTTCGATCGCATCCACCTCAGTGCACCACTTCACGTGATGACAGGAACATTGTGCACATGGCAGTGACGGATTGCTCAGTCACATCACAAACCATAGCACAGCACATTCAGTCTGTAATGCATCATCCAGTGTCTGCGTTTACCATTCGATGCCATTTAGTGTGGTCTGTCCGCAAGATGTCCATTGCTTTGTCTACTCTTGAGGCAGAACCACAGACATCTCCACTGCCAACGATGCAATGAAAGAAGGATGTGGACGACAGAATGGAATGAAATTATCTTTACTGACAAGTCACACTTCTGTCTGCAACATCACGATGGTCGGATTCGAGTCTGGAGACACCGTGGAGAGGGGATGCAGAACAGCTGCGTTATTCACTGCCACACTGGTCCTGCACACAGTATTATGGTATGGGGCTATTGGATATCACTTTTTCTCGCACTCCTCTATACACATTTCTGGGACTTTAAACAGCCAGCACTACATCTCTGAGGTGTCAGAGCCAGTTGTCCTTCCTTAACTTCAGGGCTTGCCCACAGTCATATTTCAACAGGATAATGCACAACCACACGTGGCACGCATTGTTCAAGGGTTCTTCATCAATCACCAGATTGAATTGCTTCCTGGCTGGCTCGACTTTGTTTTTTCCCCGACCAGATAAATTTTGGCAACGTGTGGAAGCTGCTTAGTCTGCTGTACCACAAGAACACATCCTCTTTGAATCAATGCCAAGGCATGTGGCAGCGGTAATCTCCAACAATGGGGGCTACTGATTCTGGAAGGAACCACACTTCACAGAAGTCTATAAATTAATCATTTGATACTTGGTCAACATGTTATCTACTAAATAAATTTTGTTGTGATATCTCTTGTCTTTCTTGGTGCTGCAATTTTGGTGGCCAGCAGTGTATTTTATAAAAAATGAAGGTTATTCCCTTTCCTTTACACATATTTCGACATATTATCTAATGCCAAAGCTTTTGGCATATTATCTGTAAATATATAAATGACTCTAGGCACAGGCAAAAGTTAAATAGTTTCAGTGCTAATAATTGTGGAAAGGGCAGCTAACTGATATCCCCTCAGCTATCCAGTTTCCTGAAATGAGTAATCAAGACTTTTTTTGTACTGTTTTTATGAGTATCCTGTATAGTATGCCATTTGAATTCTATATTACGCTAGCAAGATTAATATTAGCTCATTTCTCAGATATTTATGCAATAATGCCACTAACTTGACTGTCCTATTACTTAACCTCTTCATTTTGTGAAGCAATCATACATAATATGTTGGCCAAAGCCACTATTATTACCAAGATTTTCACCAGTGAAAAAACACAAAAAATGTGATTCAAAGTCAACTGATCTAATATGCCAAAATCAGCAAATATTTTCCCATGATAATAAACTTGTAGCAGACTTGTCTACAATATGTATAGGTGATTTCTCATTGCAAATAACACTTTCGGTAATAGGAAAATTGCAATTCTTGAACAAATTCTGAACTATTATTCATTGGTCTACAAATGACATTCAGACATAAGAGGTAAAAATGTTTTTCTAAACATCTAATGCTTGCATTTTAAACGCAATTATTTTTATCATATACCACAGTCAGTTAATTCACACAGTATAATACCACAGTCAGTATAATTTATTTTGATTTTTAAAAGTAATATATTGTCCCATATATTATATTTAAATATTAAATTACGTTTATCTTGGAGTAAATGATTGTAACATATGAAAAAAAGAAATGGCACTACCAATATATATCATTGTCAAGAAAATATTTAACTCGAATCAATGTCATTTATTACATCAATGCACAAACAGCATTTTAGGCAAATAAGGCTATCACAATAATACATAACAATAATAATAAATGCTGCATCTTTCATGAAGATGCTCCTTTTATAAATTCTACAAGCAGCCTTTACATCTGAAACTAACTATCAGAAATAATTTGAATTTATATTAATTTATTTTTTGATAGGCAAACTGTGTAAATGAAAGTATACTGAATAAACATTAAATATAAGAACATTAAACATAATTTCATCATGCTAAAATACAAAACCGTTTTTTTATCTTCAGGAAAAATGGTAATTTACATTGGTTTATACGTTACGCTAACATTTTGTTTTATTATGCTATAATTTTGTATTAATGCTTGCTTAAAATATTAACTATTAATTTAGGATTAAAACTTTAATACACTTATGAACATAAAATAAAGAGTTATCCAAAAGTCAGTGAATATATTAAAAAGTGCATTAAGATTGCACAGTAATACAATCAGCAGAGAAATGCAGAGAGTCCTATATTTTAAGAGTTTCATTACATATATTTTTTTAAGGTTCAGTTACATTTTATCATATCTTTTTTAGGTCCAATTGCATCTACCATAATTGAATAATACTTTCAGAATTAGAAGCAGCATGTTCATAATGACAGTACAGTTAAAATAGGGTTTCTATGAAGGATTCATTTTAATTACTCCCATGCAATACCATATAGACACTCAGTCTGGCAATGTGAAGCTTTATCGAAGCTTCCTTTTCCAATGTTGATGAGCCAAACAGTGTTGAGTTCTTCTGCAGTTACTACCAAATCATTGGGCTTCCACCTCAAGAATATCTTTAAAAGAACCTATTCCCTCAAATTCTTTATTTTCTTCTTCAGTATTGCTATGATTATTAATCATTTTCTGCATCCCACATCCCTGAAATGGCAGTGATCATAAAGTAACTGGATTACATGGCTAGCTAGATAGGTCACCCCTGCCTCTAGACATAATGAAATGTTGAATGTGACAGAAAACTAATTCAAATAATTTATTGCCTAAATGTTGACATAAGATGCCATTAATGCCTTCTGTTTAATATGCAAAAATATCTTTGCCCGGTATTATGCTGCAGTTGTTGTTTTCTTATTAACTTAATACCATTTCACAAAAAATACTTTAGCCATGCACAAATGATAAGACATTGACTGTTATACTGATTCTTGCCCTCACAGTTAGTTTTTAGAATTTACTGAATTTTGGATAATTTATTTAACACAAATAATATTATAATTTCTATGCGCATTATTATTGCAGTATATTCCATAGTATAAATTTCCATGCAAAGGGAAATATATAAAATTATAGACACTCTAGATCAAGAGAACCTGCTATTACACTTGGAAAAAATATTCATTTAAATAAGGTAAGATAACAATATACTGGCTTTGAATGGTTTGTAGATATTCGCGATTTTCCACAGATCTTTAGTTGGGAAAAATTCTATGATTTCTTAATACAGGTGACACCCTCCACCAATATATATGTGGACCAAGATATTACTCTACCAAAGATAAGAAGTATAAGTGGTAATAAATGAATTATTTAGGATTATGTATCTTTTGTAAAAATTTTGCCTCTTAATTAGTCAAAGTTATTGGAAAAAGTGTCTCTTATTTATATTAAACAAGAAAAAAAACCTTACTACCTTACTATATTTTCCATGACAATCAGTCTGTTTCATATTGAGAAATCTAACATAGGATCCTAACTACTGGTGTTTTATAACTTAATTTTTGATTAACTAATGATTCACAAAAGCAAAATAATTACAAACATCCAAGGAGTTTTTAACAGTACATCCAATGTTAAGTGCTAAAAAATCTATCAAGTATTGAGAATTGGTTTCTTGAAGCAACAGAAATAGCAAGTGAATTGCTAAATATATTTTACATTAGCAAATAAGAATGCATTGTAAATCATTCCTTCTTCCTAAAAATAATAATAAGCAATAAAATATTTAAAAAAAGGTTTCATCAATGTCATCTTCTCTAGCAGTTCTTAAATTTTATGAATTTGAACTTTTTTCACATGATGTGCAATTTTGCTGAACATCTAATCGCTGCTTTTTTATGTTTGCTTAGTATACAAAAATAGTATCTATTAATATTGAATTTACAAATTTTGTAAATTACCATTCGTAATAATTTTAATGTTTATAATTAAAATTAATTTAATGAGATATAGCAAATATATATCTACTGTTATTTTATAGGAATATATTATGTTATTTTATAGGAATATCTCTTGACCATAAGACAAGCAATATTTCTCATCTAGTTCAATGTTTGAAATATGCACGCATAAACATTGTTTGCCATTCAATCAATCTAAAACTTATTTTTTTATGCATGCAAGGCTAGAAAAGTCCTTTTGCTAAATACATTAGGCACATCAATAGAAGTTTTTTTCTGCAAATTCTATGTGTATACTACTCTTACAAAATTAACAAGTCAAAGAAAATATTTTTCTTTAAAGTGAGTTCCATGAAATGACCACATGACAATTACTATTCTGATTTTGATAACTTTCTAATGAAACATTGCTTATAAAAAGATGTGCTGATTTACAGGAACAGAAAACAATTTTCATTTGTTTTGAATGCTCAACAAAATTAACAATAACACCTGGTAACAGAGATTACTAGAACTTAAATAGGACCAGAAATGACCTAAAATCATTATTTGCATTCAGTCTGATTTATCCACCAATCAAATTGTACCTTGGACTTTTCAGCTCATATTCAGTTAATTTAACTAATTATAAATTTCTATCAAATATGCCACCTTATGCCAAATAAGCCAAATTGCTTGAAATTTGAACTGTAATGAAAGATTAATTCGGATTTTATATTATTATTACGTTTTTCTAAATAAAAAAACAAATAAAGTGGTTCTTTAAACAAAATTTCAATGATAATGAAAGTTTGGATTTTATGATATTTTTATTATATTTTTCAAATATTTATCAAATTTTAGTTTTAAAAGTCACTTGTGAGTTCCTAAATATTAACAAGTACCCACAGAAGTACACTGACCACACTTTAAGAATTTTGGATCTTCATAAACCTTTAAGTTTTTTTTTTTTTTTTTTAAATTTAGAACCTGTGAACAAACACTATTGTGCACAAAAGTTATATTAAAATTGCCAAATTAAAAAAAATAAATAAATATAAATAACACATAAGGTAGTAAAAATGTTTAAAATATTTTTTAAAACATTCAGAAATTTAGAGATATTGTTTAATGACTAATAATGATACTGTTGTATAAAATTTACTCAAATTTTTAATAAAATGGTGATATTAAACATCAAGCTTCTTTATTACATATATACTGATGCACCAATATACTTATTATTAGTTCAACTTTCATTTCTGCTCAGGAAGCAATATTGTTTAGTTTCATTTATAGCGAAAATAGTGGAAGGTACATTACCAAGGAGATGAGCAACTTGCATTCCATTCATTAAAGTTGTTACTATCAACTGTATAACTATGTAAAGCTTCACGAACTCCCCACTTTTTACTATCTTTGATTTTCCCTGCAGATTTTAAAACAAGATTACAGTTTAATGAAATGTACTGAAAAAATATCAAAATACTTTTGCAATTATTCCTATAATTGCAAAAGAATTTTGATAATAAGAATAACTATAAATAAAATTTTTACTTTCAAATTCAAGTTGGAAATGTAATACTTAATCATAATATAACATTATTTCTGTAAATTTGCAGAGTTTGAATAAGTAAATAAATAGCATGAATTTTCTTTTTTACTATACCTCCATGTAATTAACTAGTATTCTGACTAAAACAAATATAACAGAAACAATGTTATGAACCACAATATAGTGTTATTACAAGTTTGATGTTACACTTAACAGTAATTTTTATTTTCAAAGAAATTCTTGCATTTAATGAATATTTTTATAGTTTATAATTTATATATATATATATAATTTGATATTTATATATCATCTTTATATACTATTTGTTCCTTTCTCCATTTTACTGAGATAGTTTATTTATGTTTTTTGATATTTTTTAACAATCTTGATATTTTGACACAATTTTGATACGAATAACAATTTTAAGAAATATTCAGCTCACTGAACACAGCACATTAATTTGTTGCTTAAATATTTTCTTCAAATAAGCACTTATTATTACTAAAATGTCAATTTTGATTGTATTGATAGTAAAATGAAATTGTATCTTTAAAGCAACAGACAGCTAACATATAAAGACACATAAATAAAAGCGTGAAAATATAAAAAATGTTTCTAGATTCCGAAGACAAAATTATTGATCACAGTGTTACAGTGCCTCTCTAAAATTCATTACATATAATGATAAAATACATTTCTGCATCTGATGTAGGCTAATCATGATAATCATGTAAAATTTCAAAAGCAAGATATTCGAAAATGAACATTTTTTTCATTCTTTGACTTTGACTTGATTTGATTATTTATCATGGTGTTTTTTACTTGATTTGATTATTTACTATAATGTTCAACACCAAGTTCAATAACTAAAAATGGAAAAGGAACTAAAAAAAATGAATTTAATATCTGTCAAATACAGCTTCTCAAAATATTATGCTTTACTGGAAATAGGATATCAAAATAAAGTAAACATTTAAAAAATAAAGCAGATGCTATTCTGCAAACTATAATGAAATAGTTTTTAAAAGGTAAATTCTGTACATTTTATATGCATACGAAATTTCACATTTTATAACATAGAGAAATCTCCATTTATTAAAAATAATGCAAGAGCATTTCATTAAATTAATGGTTAATGAATAATTAATACATTACTTTCATTGGCTATAACATTTACCTGAACTAAATTTATCACATGAAGAGTTACTAGGTTTCTGAACTTGATTTTTAAAAATTTGTCCATTCCCAGCATCGTCATTCCTGCAATTTTGAAAAGGATTCGGTTAAAATATCAGCAGTAAAAAAAGACTATAAAATATTTCACATTACACAAATTATGGAATAAAATAACATGAACATTCAAATTCTTTTTATGCCACAGTCTCCCAGTATGGTTTTTATTATCCACTACTGTTCCAAAGGCAGTTAGAACATACTGAAAAATTAGATTGCTTAACATTTTTCTAACAAATACTTAAGATTCATTTCATTATACTATAAGAACTTTACAAGAATCATACTAAATTATATTAGTCAATCATATTCACACAAGTTAATGAAAGTTGCAAACAGTTTCATTTTTCTGTTCCACAGGATTGAAATTTACTAACTACTAATGCAACATTTTAAAAACATCACCACAAATCCATGGTGATTTCTAGCATGCCCCAGTAATAGAGTATTTCAATATACACCATTGTAGGAATCATTCATGATTTTCAAGTTCATTACTCTACATGTTTGAAGAAATCTTTTAATTTACCACATTTTTGTTTCCATATAGTATAAAAGCTTCCATTAATAATTTTATATGGTGTAAATATGACAAACATTTTATGTTAAACAATGTATGCATACATTTGAAAAGTGTCTAATGTGTCGGTATTGCAAAGACAGGAGAGGCAATGAACTAACTCAAGGTGGGCACCGAGCAAAATAATGCTTGAAAAGGAAGTTTTGTTTCATAATTGCATGAAAAACTTTTGTTAATAACTTATGAGGTGTAAATGCAATAAATACCTTAAATGTATATATTAACCGGTGTCTACGTATATTTGAATGATGACTAATATGTCTGTATTGCAAGAACAGAAAAGCACTGACCAAATTCGAGGGGGGGCACTGTGCAAAATAAAGCTTGAAAAAAGGGCATAAAGCCAGAAAAGGTTTGAAAATTATTCAATTAGCAAAACCTGCTATTCCCACTCATGTTATAATCAACTGAGTTTCTAACTCCTGACTGTTTGTACATTAAAACAAACATATAAATGCTTGGAGCTAATCAAAATTGAATTCATAGACATTAAGAAAAAATGACATGATATTCATATGCTTTACAGTATTTTAATATACTCATGCATAATTTTTATAAAAGAAATATTCATATATTTAACAGATAACTAATTGTAACAGCAATGCTAAGTAACTATTCCATTTTATTGCACATTCAGATTTTGAAATAGCATTTTAGTGGCACTATTTAAAAGATAAATAACCAATCAAAAGTGGTAGATCGCATACTACATGATTACTTAAATTTGTATATAATTATATCATAGTTACACTTTAAAATCATTAGCTATTCTGTGAAGCAATTATATAATTTAATTCCTATTAAAAGTAGTAGTCTACCAAGATGAAGAAAACTCTCATGCAAGGTTTAAATTTAAGTTTAAGGATTTGTTAAATTGCTTGTTTCAAAACCCACAGTTTTTAATAAAATGAAATTCACAAAGTGCATATTTCAATATAATTAAGAAATTTATAATAAAAAGCATTACTTTTTTTTTCTTGAGTTTCATTAATGAGTTTTCAATAACCTGTTATTACAGTCTTTGGTATCAAGATATTTCAATATCATAGACTTCTTTATTTTGGAAATGCATTCGAAACAGCATCAGTAGACATCATCAAATTGACAGCAGTGAAGAAACAGTGAATGTGGCATGTTCAAAGTGATTTAGTTTCAGTTTAGCTGTATTTTGATCGGTTGATAATAACTTTCTAAAATTAGTATTGGCTGAAGTATTATGCAAGTGTCTGCATAACGCAAATATAACATGCATATTTTGTATAACGCAAAAATAACATGACATGGATTAATTTTGAAATAACACAGTTTAGAGCAATTTATTATAAATAATTATTATTATTAAGTCAAGAAAGGGAAAATACTCAAATTAAAATAGAGAATTAAAGTACTATTGCAACTTAAAGTTAGAATTTTTGGTACTATTCGGTTTCGAGGGCCGTAAAAAATCGCCAAACTATTGTTGATGCCAATGCTGCCAAAAATAATTGCGGCAAGAAACATAGTATAACAGTAAATAACTATCCAAGATTGATGTTTTAATTTAGATGAAAGGTTAATTTAATATAATACTCTTTTATTATTATAATTTATATGAAATAGGCTAAACATGACTGAATGGAAGCATAAGAGTAAATAACTATTCTTTCTGATCATTATTATAATTTATAGAAAATTGCTAAACATAACTGAATGGATGCCTGCATCGCTATTTCGCTACCGACTTATCGCTAAGCATAATTTCATCTCTTTGTTGTTCAAACGTAACTTTCTATAATAAATTATGCCTTTTCTTTGAAAATATTCTCGGTAAAGTGCAGAATCTTGTTTGCCGCTTTTTACTCTTGTAAAAAGCAGCAAACAAGATTCTGCACTTTGGATTTTTGTCAATTTTCTTTTACTTTTTAAGTGAAAATAGGTCGATGTGTACATAGATAAAGCCAAGTGTGTGCGCAGTGCCATTTTTGTGCAATTCTGGGGATTTTTTTTTAAAGTGAAAATAGGTCGATGTGCACATGGATACCGAGTTTGTGCAATTCTTAAAAACGCGTCAAACAGTGGGTGATTCTGCACTCTACTCAAAATTCTATTGCCGACTTTTCGTCATGGGCAATTCCCAAATTGTTAAATCCATAGGATATTAAAAAAGGATTTAAAATCAAAAAAGGATTTAAAAATTAAACTAGTATTACAATGGCGTCTTAAGAAATATAGAACTATATAAACTTACGCAATCTGAAATCAGCGCGTACGCTAGATTTGGAGCGCTGTTAAATGGGTGCGTTTGCTACATTTGGCGCTTTTGCGCATACATTTTCGCTGCAATTTTTTACGGTCTTCAAAATGGAATAGTACCGAATTTTTATTTATATGTTTTTAATCTTACATATCTTTCAGTATTTTATATATACACCTATGTAAAAGTAATAATTTGTTACTTTTTTTTTCAACTTAAACATCACAATACATATGGCTTTTCAAAATTTGACATAGAAGCTAATAATGTCCAATCAACTAAAAACATTCCATACCTAAATGATTAAACATAAATGATTTCTCAGCCAGCTCTTTTCTAAAGCACCATGCCATGATTTATTGGCTACAGGTATTCATAAGCATGCCAAAGTCCTAATCAAAGGCAAAGAATATTTCACATTTTTACACATATTCCTAACACAGTGGTGTTGGAAGGTGGATGCAGTGGGTGCGGCTTGCACCAGGTACCAGCTCTGACGTGGTGACAAAAACTATTCAAAATTTGTACTTTCAGATTTCGCATTAAAGCACCTCTTTTGATACATAAAATAACATGTCAAATAATTTACATGAGTTCTTATAATAACTACTAATAGGTTGTATTAATTAATTGCAGCAAATTATTAGTTACTATAAATTATTAGTTAATTTTAGCTAACTGCAGGAGAACAAAATGACGCTGTTATGATTTAGAATTACTATTATGTGATATATGGGGGGAAGGATGTCTCGTCTCTTTTAAACAGTACTAGTGCTCAAATAAATAAACAGCCAACCCTGGTGACTCATCATCTCAATCCTGCCCCAAGTCTCATTTGTCTCTAATCATTCTGGACAATAAAATTATATTTTTAACCTAAATATCATAATAATATAATCAGTGCAGATGTGTTTTATAGAGTGGGATGGGAAAGTATTGCTTTTTGCTCACAAATCTGATTATCAAGTAAATAAGTATATCTATCTCCAATCTAGCACATTACTCATGTCTACCTTAAAGTGATGAAAACCATTTGTTTTTGTTCACTTTAGGACCATTCTATGAGAGAACGGATAACTTCTACCTAGCCCATTGCCTAAAACTTTTCAATGCTGGCAATACCTTATTATGAGCAACATTTTATCATGCAGCAGTATTATTTAAAAATTAATCAAATTTATAGTATGAAGAATATCCATCTGCAAGACGGTAAAGACATTGTTGTGCTATTATACGATACTTTGCGTTCACTGAATCATTCTTTTCTTTTCCTTCTATGATACTGATTTTGGTAAGTAGACTTTTAGTTTGTGAAATAAAATAAATCTAATATTATATTACTTTCTCAGCAGATACTATACAGAAAGTACTATAATCCTCTCAAAGTACTGTTATTTCCTCCAAACTGACATTTTGGAAGAAGTAATTGTTTTGGCCTTTCTTAAGTTAAAAAAGTACAAAATGTCTATCTGTGTGTGTATATGTCTGTAGGCATTTACAAATCAAAATATGATGTACTTCCTTCTTCTTCTTCTTTTTACTTTTCTTGAAGTAACCTGGACTTTTTTCATATGTCAGATAAATGACCATTAAGCCATGGCATCCAAGTAGTGCACAGAAAAAAAAAAAAAAAAAGTTTTGAAGTTTAGTTGCTGACCAGTTCGATGCTCAGATTTTTTAAGCCCTTGATATCAACATCAAGTGTGGCAGAAGATGTTCTAACATTATTTAAATCTCAGAGTGGAGTTAACAGAAAACCTGACAGAAATCACAAAAGTGATGAACAAATCAAAAAGGGCATTTTGCAGAAGAAATTGAAGAGCTCATTGAAAGAGATAACTTTGGAGATAATCACAATAAATAAGAAAATAAATTAGAAGACAACACATCAGACAAACAGAAAGAAAGCGAAGAAGAAAGAGCAGATGAAGAAAAAACTACTAGTAATATTTCCTTTTCCCGTTATTGAAAATCTAAGGGTTGAATTAATGATGAGTTCTAAGAGCTGAAGTTTTAAATAAAAGAGGAAGTGAAGTGTTTCAAAACAAAGATGAACCATTTGTTTCTATTGAGAGACAAGGGAATAAGACTAAGATGAGGGGCTGCTAGTCAACAGAAGTTTGACTGGTTCTATATCAGTCAGCCAAATGGTGAGAAGATTTTAAAAATCTCGATGGCATGTCCAATCAAAAAACAATGTATTGTTTTTGTTGT